TTTGGGCAACTTAACTGTTGTCTGATGCTGTTGCAGATTCTTCAGGAGTCTCTATACTGAGTGTGTAGGGAGCAGTGAACACTATGTAGGGACCCTGTGAATTGCACATATCTGATCGTGTTTGGCATTGTTTGTTCATGTCATGTTTTATTGTGTGTGTTTCAGTCGTATCGAGCACCTGAAGTCTCAGAACGATCTGCTGACCATCACGCTGGAGGAGTGTAAGAGTAACGCCGAGCGGATGAGTATGCTGGTGGGGAAATACGAGTCCAACGCCACCGCGCTCAGACTGGCCCTGCAGTACAGGTACACACACACAAACCACCATACATGCAGAAGCTGGAACCAGAGCCAACACTGTCTAATTATAATTCTAAACACAGTCGCATTTACATGCAGGATCAGCATCAACATCAGGAAAGACTGTTTCTCCGTCCTTTCAGATGGTTAATCGCCGTCATTGATAAAAGCATCAGAAGTGGTGTGACCTACGGACGAGTGTAATGAAAAGCTGCTTTATCACTGTGGAAATCTGTCTGTCACACACATAGAGACACACACTCTCTCTCACACACACACACACACTTGCATATGTGGTTTACGGGGACTCTCCATAGGCGTAATGGTTTTTATACGGTACAAACTGTAATTTGTTTCCCTAAACCAACCCCTCACAGAAAACTACAGGCATTTTTACATTTTCAAAAAAACGTTACGTTGTGCACATGCAGTGTTTAAAACAGAGCTGTATTTGTTCCTTGCACGTGCGTACCGACCTGAAGACCCGTACCGATACTGGTAACGGTATCAGCTCGTTTATTTGTACTCATTCTCATTAAAATGCTCTGATTAAAAAAAAAACAACAATCTACAATCTAATCTCTATCACACGGCATGTGTACAGTGTTTACAGTGTCCAGACAAAGAAACACAACAGAACAAACAGAGCAGAACGTTCATATCAGAGGTTACGGATGTCTAAGAAGTAAATCTATTTAATAGAAAATTGAGTATAAATGTATTATTCACATCTGTATAGCTTATATATGAATCATCTTAAACTATCAGAGCTTTGCAAAGTAAATGTTTTTGAGCAGCTGATGCAGAGCTAGGATATTTTGCTTGAACTTTGTGTAAATGTATAAGGGAAAGGTTTATACCTCAGATACTGTCACTGTTTTTGTTTCTGCAGTTAATTTTTTAATGTTTTCTAATCGCATTTTTAGCTTGTGGTGTGACAAAAGCTTTTTTAAAGTGTCTAAAAAATTAGCATTTCATGAGCTCATAAAATGAGAAAAATGTTTCAAAACGTTTGTTGTTTAAAATAGTTTCGATGCGTGTCGCACCACAGGACACATTCAGAAAGGAAACGCCACTGATTTCTGCTGGAGCGAGCGTGTAAATATTACTGATTTTGCATTAACGAGGAGGTTAATTTCCTGCGTTGTGACTGTGTGTGATTTTAAATCTCATCGTTTGTTCATGATTTCTGTAGCCTGAGCTTTATCATGAGTATCACACACACTCTCTTCTCTCTGTCTGGTTCATCTGTAATCAGCACAGAGCTCCAGTGAGGCCCTGATTTGCCCTTTGACCTCTGAACTTTGACCTGAGTGTGCCATCAGCTGTTAATTAACTTCCCCTCTCACCTGCGCTGTCTCTCATTGGCTTAAATAATTTATCACATGATATTTAATCTCTAAACTGAAGGACCGACAGAGATCGCCTTTACCCAGCATGCCGTGGGCTAGTGACGTATTAGCATGCAGCACAGCAGCTCATCCAGATAATGTCATAGAATTCATCCTGTATTAATAATTTCCTATGAAAATGATGTTCAAACTAAATGAAAGAGAATATGTATTATTGATGCACGTTCTGTGTGCATATATAGATATAAACACACACAAATGCATATAATATACAAAATATAAATATTATAACATATAAATATTATATATAGAACTAGTAACGAAGGACCGTTGAGTTGCTTCATTAAAAGCTTATTATATCACTGTATTAAAAGCTCTACTGTATGATGAAAGAGAGATGGACTGAGCGAGTGTGATTACCTGCATCTGATACAGAATTCATTCTTCAGCTCAATCTCATATTCACAATAAAACATTAGTTTGAATGTCCGCTGAGGAAAGCGATGCATTCTTCAGCTCAATCTCATATTCACAATAAAACATTAGTCTGAATGTCCGCTGAGGAAAGCGATATCTTTGTCCTACTATCCTTTCATCTGTTGAGGGGGATTTCTGATGACAGCGCTGCTCACTGCATCTGTTAACTGCGTCTTACAAGATGTTGAAAGTAAAATAATTTCCTTGTTTACAACCCTGTTTCAGTCTCTTTCAATATAAAAGTCTTTACTGCGGACTCACTCAGAAAAACAGTCTCTTGTCGCATCTAACGGTGGAATACTGCCACTAAAATCACCATCACAAACACACTGTTTCCCAATACTAAATACTACTATTATGTATATAATATATTATTTATTGAATAATAGTATTTAATAAACAGCAACAGCCATCATAAAAGTTGCAAGTCAATTCTAGAAAAACAGTCTCTTGTCGCATCTAACGGTGGAATACTGTCACTAAAATCACCATCACAAACACACACACTGTTTCCCAATACTAAATACTACTATTATGTATATAATATATTATTTATTGAATAATAGTATTTAATAAACAGCAACAGCCATCATAAAAGTTGCAAGTCAATTCTGTCAAAAGTACAAAGGCAGCGCTTTGCTATGCAACATTAAAGTTACATAAAATATAACGTGATGAGATTTTGCCCTCAGCCAAAACTATCTGCTCTGGAACAAATAATAGATGAATGAGAGCAAAGACTGCCCGTTAGAATGAACCAAAAGGAAATATATCTCATGTTTAACCAATCAGAGCCGGCGGTGAACGGCCGCTGACGCCATGGAGCTCACGTCTCCCAAAACATCAAAGCATATTTTCAAATAGACTTTATCTTTATTAACAAAACGCATATTTGAAGTCTAGACATGTACATTCTTGCCTAAAAAACTCTTAAAACTACATTCCGGGACACAAAAACAGTATTATTTATAAAATTGTAGTGGATTTAGGCGTCTGTCATGACACTCGCTGTGATTTTTATATTTTTTCATAATATATACATGTGTGCGTGTTTTGTGTTCAATCTTGCTGAATATGGTGATTATGCTCATATTGTTGCCATACTGCAGTAACTCTAAAGATTTAACATTCCAGAAAAGGGTTTTCCAGCAGCTTGTTTTTTCTGTGTTTAATGAGAAAGCACAGGAAAGGGCAGGCGGTGTGGAAGTTTGTAATTTCATTAACTACAGTATATTTATATATGCAGCTTTTTATATTCACAGATAACCTTTTGCTAGCAAACCCAGACTTTATTACAGATTAGCGAACCCAAAGGTCAGATTAGCATCAGTCAACATTCAGCTAGCAGCTAGCCGCTCTCGTTCTGTCCTCTCTGCGCTAGCGCCTGGAGATTTGACTCTGTTTTAGTTCATGTGAAGTGCATGAAACACAAGCTCTGTTTGCATCCGCTGTTGTTGCATGTTTTTGTCATGGTCGCTTAACATCGACTTTAGCTCTAGCGTATCCGCGCGGCGCTCCGGGGCTCCTGTGGCCCTTCCCGAAAACTGACACAGGGAATTTCTGATGTTTGCCCTTTACGTCCATACATGATTAAACAGCAAACACGAGCGTCTCATTGAGCGTCTCATTTATTCCGCTGTTTTCCTCCACTGGTGGGGAATACTGAGAGAGAAGCTCTGAGATGAAAGAGCGACAGACGAGCTCCTGATGAATATGGTTATAGATCAATAACCTTCCTCACACTCATCCTCAGTCTGTCAGATCTGGAACTGAAGCATGTTTTCAAACTAAACTCTAGACAAATTATACTGTACCTTTTTGTTTAGGTAGCTCTCAATACATGTTCATATCATATTTCACCTCAAAATCCAAAACAATTCTGTGACATTATTTTAATGAAATTAAAAATAAATAAATACATATAAATAAATAAATAAAATGAAATAAAAAAATCACATTACTGCATTGTAAAAACACATTTATATATGATTTCATTTTTTAATTGTAATTAAGTTAATACACATTATAATATTGATTTTTTTTAACTTTAACTCTCAAGCATCTTCAAAATCAAATAAATAAATAAAAGTAAATAAATAAATTATAAAATAATGAAAAAAATAAGATTGTTTATCTTATTAAATTATTATTATTTTAATTTTACATGTTAAATTTTGTTTAATTTTTTTTACATTACTTATTACTTCTAATAATATTTTTAGGAGCATTTTTCTTTTTAACAAAAATCCAGTATTTGTTCTCTAAAACAGTATTAAAAAATCTGTATTATAGTAATGAGAACTGAATGAGAATTTAATGAGAATAACTCAAAATTGTTATGAAAATAATGTCATGCAAATATGTTCAAATATTTGGGGTCAATTTTTTTTTTTTTATGTTTTTGAAAGAAGTCTCTTTTGCTCACCAAGGCTGCATTTATTTGATCAAAAATACTGTAAAATTTGTGAAATAATATTATCATTTTAAAAAGCTGTTTTCTATGTGAATATCTGTTAAACTGTAATTTATTTCTGTGATGCGCAGCTGTATTTTCAGCATCATTACTCCAGTCTTCAGTGTCACATGATCTTCAGAAATCATTCTAATATGCTGATTTGCTGCTCAAGAAACATTTCAGATTATTATCAATGTTGAAAACTGTCGTGCTGCACAATATTTTTCTGGAAACTGTGACGCATTTTATTTTTCAGGATTCGCAGATGAAAAGAAAGTTCAAAAGAACAGCATTTATTTGAAATAGAAATATTTTGTAACATTATAAATGCATTTACTGTCACTTTTGGTCAATTTAATGCATTATTTGTGTGTCCTGTGCAGTAATGTGGTATTTTCTCTCTCTGTCTCTCTCAGTGTGTATCAGGTGGTTGTTGAGGAGGAGCGTCCTCGAAGGGCTCGTGGAGGTGAAGCGGAGATCCTGCGCTGTTATCCGCTGCCGGTTCACTATCATAACGCCAGCGGGCTGAACTCACAGTACTACTACAGCGCTGAGTTCCCCTCTGCAGGCGTCTCATCTCCGCAGACGTTCACCGTCGGAGACAACCGGACCTACGGCGGATACTGGAACGCCCCGCTGCTGCCACACAAGAGCTACAGCATCTACTATCAGGCCGTCAGTGCCGCCAACGGGGTGTGTTCACTCAAACCAAAACTGATGAAATAAAATACACTTCAAATGAAATAGAAAAAAGTATGTGTGCGTGTATATGTGTATATATATATATATATATATACACACACACACATACATATGTTATAAATTCACTGTAAACCACGGCTTCTTGGGGCTTATTGCTTTTATATATTTTAAACTTCAGTTGGTTGCCAAGGTAAAATTTCTCCTTTCATTTTAGTTTATCTTTATTTACTAAAAATAACCAAAACAAGTTAAATAAAAAAATATATTAAAATTATATATATAAACAACTACTAAAATGACAAAAACAACTAAATTACCTAGCTTTAATTCAAATTAAAATAAAACTGAAAATATAAAAATAATAACTGATTCAAAATATTACATTTACACTTATGCATTTATCCAAAGCGACTTACAAAAGCGATTATATTAACAAAATCTAAAATAAATGACACTAAAATAACACTGGTTTATACACTCCAGTGAAAACCATTGCAATAATTAATGTTTTTGCCTCGATTATATATTTAAAGCTGACAAATATGTCAGCAAATATAACTTTTTTAAGCAAATATTTACATTTTATTCATTTAGCAGATGCTTTTATTCAAATCGACTTACAAATGAAGAATACAACAAGTGATTCTTTCGGAGTTATATTTAGTGAATATTCTCATTCAAGGACTAGTTTGTACAAAGTAAAACGTATGTAAACAGAGGACATATTATGAAAGGGCTGTGGTGAACATATGCAATGTTTGAATCCATTGAGATGATCATATTCAAGTGTTTTTTCAGGTCTTGAAATTGCATTCGGATCGAGCTCAGTCGTATCGACTGATGTGTTTACATGAAGGATTTTCAATACAGTTATGGATTATTTGGGTGCATGTAAATGTAGCTACTGTAAGAGCTAAAACAGATATATTCAGAATTAGATTCCTAAACCATGTGATGTTGCATTGCTTTACCAGACAGCTGTATTTATTTACGTGCCAAAGCCAGTTTTTACTTGCATTTGGTGCTTGCATTTCCAGCACAAATATCTAAACATCCTTAAATCAAGATACATTTACTGGAGAAGCAAAATGACTTAATGATATTAAGTCTTGCTTTCTGAGTAATCGATGAAAATTAAGTGAGTTTATGCTTCAAACAGGAAAATATTTGCAGATGGAGTCAGAAAAATAAAATTGTTTTCCCTTTGAATCAAGCTGATTTTCTGATCACATTGGCAGATATTTGCTCTTGTTTTAAGCATAACTTTTGATGCTTTTTTTCAGAAAACAACGTTATCTTAAGTCATTTTGCTTCTTAAGTAATCGCATGCTGATTTAAGAATGTACTGGAAAACAAGACCGAATCCTAAGTAGTAAAGTCATTTTTGCAGTGTTGAATGATAATTTTGGACGCTGTGGGAGAGACAAACGCTCTCGACGAGTGGCTCTCCACAGAAGCGCGGCGGCCCGAGTCGATGAGGAAGGTAATTGTGGGTAAGAAAGAGAGCGGAGGTGAAGAGAGTCCCTCCGGATGCCTCGAGCTCGACCCACGTCCTCAAAAACACACGGAAGAGGCCGTCAGGGAGCAGGTGCCGCTCGGAAAACACTTTGAGTATCACAGCGACGTTTCTCGAGGCTTTAGAGTGTCATGCGTGAATTAACTCGCTTTGACTTAATGCATCTCGCTCTCTCTCACCGTGCTTTTAAAGAAAACACGCTGTTCGGATTGACAGTCGAGCTGCTGTAAAAGGCCGTGGAAGAGCCGGCGGCTGTAATTGATGTCCTAATTGACTGAGGATCTGTGTTTTAGCCTCCTGATGGATGCAGACGGGCACTTACTGAGACGGCCCTCGGATCTGTCTATTCAAGAGCTGTAATTCATTAAATCAGGCCTTGCAGTGCCGTCAGGACGCTGGATGTGCTGCTAAATGCACATTAGTGTTTGCTTTTCTTTGTAATAGCGGGACGAATGTTTGTTTATGTTGTCGTGAGTCTCGTTCAG